GGTATTGTCGCTTTTCAACTGGTACTCCTGAAAGAGATTTACCATGCCACCCGCGAACGAACGTTTGATGAAATTAACAGTCAAGATGCAGTGTATATTTATCCCAACCAAGCCATTTTCTTATTTACTGCAGCGCGACACTGAATAGTTTTGGCGATACAATGTCGCTTTGTCGAACCCCCTTGCCGATAGTTATGGGGAGAGATCGATGGATAAAGCTGCATTTTTGTGCCTCACCTGTGATAAATTAGTTTGTTGCCGCGTGTTTAACGGATTTATACTCTGGTCGATAGACAAGGCGTGATTTTGTTCGTCTCCACGCTGTCAAACGCTTCCCTGTAGCCGATAGAGATTAATAGGAGAGCCAATTGGCACTCATAGGAAACTTCAATCAGGCTCAATATGTTATTATTATGTTTCATGAACTAGAATGCTGGTCAGATGCCTGCTTGTTTGAATGGCTGCGCCTCACTCATGGTCTTAGATGAAAGCAAAAAATAGTCATTGTGATACGCTTTTGAGGTCATTTCTTTTCCTCCTCTTTCTTTCACTCACCTCTATCCTTACGTCAGTAGACGACAATTCACTTAAATGCATGCTTACCTTCATCGAGAGTCACAACGAAGATGCTGTAAATAAGTGATATATCGTAAAAACTTCTATGGTTTACGCCGATGAGAATGTAAAGCATATCTAAAATGAACGAGATGAGCCCTTTAATCAAGTCATTGGAGAGTGGTTAAGTGGTCTATGCCACACAACTTTTTCCTTTCGGTAAGTGCTACACAGTTATAAGTGGACATTTAGTAGATTGATGAAGAGAATTGGAAATTTTTCTAAGATTGTCTGTGAACGCTAACTTCGGAGAACTTGTGTTGAGCGATATGAACTGTTCTACGCTATAATATTTCGGGGAAATTGACACTTCAGCTACGTGCTGCATTTCTCTGATTTGATCATGCCGACGTTCTTGGTCGATTCATGAAAGATATGAAGTGGTTGTTAGCAGAACAACAAGTTGATTTACTTCGAAGCAAGAACTAATAGGCATTGAATTGGAAATAAGTTTGCTTTCATAACGTGACCTTCACATTTCATTGAGGTTAAACGGCACAAGGGATTTGGAAAAGTGACAGCGTGTGGTAGGTTACGAGGTTATTGCAGACAACGCTATCTAAAATAAGCTGCTGCATGTGTCGGAAATTTGTGCAGCTGTTGCAGGAAACATTATTGCTTAGGATTATTTAATAGGCGTCATAAAATGTCCATCAATTCTCCGATATCTATGTGAAGATTGCTTATGTGCCTAAGGAGTCATTAATTGTGGCTAAGTTTTATTCGAAGTTCACAACTGTTTAGAGGTACCTGAGAATGATTATTGGATGACCTACGCCGATTTTGATCGTATCCAAGAATTGCAAATTCTGGACACTGAGACGACGGTCAAAGAAGATCAGATCTTATGTTGAAGAGAATCCTGCTAGAAACGGAAAAGAAGGACGCGTCTAAGACAGACTATGAAACTCCTTTTTGTTTTGCACTTTAGACATCAGAATAATATCCTCAGAAATCTTTTTGAGGCTGCTTGTCATGTCAAATTTCATGTGACTGTCTCACAGGAAATGCTGTTGGCATTTCGTCTCTTCCGTGAAAACTCATTTTGGAGAAGAAAGAATATCTATTATGGACATGAAGGTTTCCTGACTGCATGACTTATACGGTATTAGCTTAAAATCTCACAAAGAAGAAGTGACACATCAGCAATGCCCACATTCTGTAATGGGTCTGATACCTACTTCTCAGTGTGACGAGAACTGTCTTCGTCCAAAAAGTAAATAAATAAAAAAAGAGTCAGGTCATGTGCGACGAGGGTTTCTTTTCTAATAAAATCCTCACTTCCTATGACTGAGATCAAGTTCAAATTGCATCTCCATTTCCACTAAGGAGTCGTTCAAAAATAAAAACGACTCAAGTCTGATCACAATGCAACACTCCTAACTAAGGTTATTGTAAATGAAGGTTTTGGAAAATTTTCATCGATATGGATAGAAAAAGGTACTTATAGCAGTGGGAACCGACTAGTCTTGAAATGCCGTAGAGATCTCTGCAACTATTATGTGTTATTATTCGCCTTCATAAGCGAAAACGGGACCAACACTACATAAAAACATAAGGCTAGAGGGTGAAACTCTCGGCATTGATCAATCCCTGAGGGATAGGCCATGCATTGCCTTCAATTTTTAATCTCGTTCGAAACGACTAAATGCATATGTGGCCATTACAATGACTCGCGGTGGCCTCACGCTGTACCGAGTCAGTGCTGCTTATCCTCTCAGACAATTCAAAGACTAGCCTGATACTAATTTAACGACTACGGAGGGATGGATGGCTTGGGTGAGCCGTAAGCGCGAGATTGAACCATGAACCTCGTGCCTCACGCAGAGTACCTCTAACCACTGCATCATATGCGCTAATACATCACATCAATTCATATTACGAATTGATGACCAAAAAGTTCTAAGCCAACATTATGCGCTCCACTACCCCCATTTCGGTAACCACAGTTTTCACGAAAAAGGAATCGCGACTCTGCCCTACAAAGTTCGAGTCACGATTGAAGGTATGAAGAAAAACACAGTTTCAAGACTTAGTGATACTATCGCGAACCTTTTTAGTGCAAATGTTCAAATCTGCATGCAGTTCTCGCAACTCATTTGACGTCATCTTTTCAAAAATCCAGTTTAGTGAAGTACGCTGCGCAGAATCATCTTTCCACGAAGTCAGATGGCGACAAAAAAAACATGTGCCAGCGGAAAGTTCCTATCAAGCTTTGTTCTGTGACTCTGTCAACTTTTAGCAAAGTAGCAGTGAAGAGGAGATGATGTTCAATGTGCTCAACGAAACGGGGGAAAAGATTGGACTACGCGTAAATTTTATGGGGAACTCAATCTATGAAAATGAGAGATGAACAAATCTGATGAACTCGTGCAAAGTCAGCGAGCCAAACAGAATGGTTCTGTGATTATGAAGATCATCGTTCAATCACGTACCCTAGCCGTCCAATCAACACGGGAAAGGAGCTGAAGGAGGACAAACAAAAGAAAAAGCAGCATGGGCCGCATTTGCGTCTCATAGAAAAGTCATCAACCGTATGACGAAACAGAGATCACCTGCTCAAACTTTCAATTCAGCAGTCACCTCAGCTCTCTGTGATGCAGCAAAGACGTCTATTGGCATTTCTACCACGTCAAGGATTTCTCGCACCACCTATAAGGAACTGAAGCGAAATCTTCAAAATCTAACTCACAACGCCTCGTCGGCCTAAAAACGGCTTAGTCTCCGATGAATATCTTTTTCTTTGGGATCCAGTAATATGCACATCAGCAGCGAAACACTGGTTTGCCAATGACAAATTCAAAAAGCAAATGACATATGGGTGAGAAAGAACAAAGGATTGAACTCCAAAAAGATGCAAGCACTTTCTCGAACGACCGTTCTAACGATAAGTAGAATGGGTCTTCGTGTGGGACCATATTCGAGACGGGCCACCGCGATGAACCACAAGTGGCGACAGAGAAGCGAATGGAAATCATGTAAGGACTCGCATTATCAGGGAAGACAGGGTTCTCCAGTTTCCAAGTGAATATCCTGCAAGTCACACACAGATATGCGGCGATATAGATGCTGTAAACTGTTCGATTTAATTTGACTCAACTAGTTGTTTTAACTGACTAATCGCTCAACAATCTTCCTATAATGTCCCCTATTTCACAGTTGTTATCCAGAAAGTATTCAACTCATTAAAAATTTGCATAGCTTTAATGTCACAGCAGTTCATTAGATTATTTCAACAATAGCTTTTATCTAAGAATATCGAGACTTGAAGTGTTGGAGATTTAAAGATATCTATCATTTGAACTAAAAGCATGATCGACTAGGATGCTTTCATTGGAGATGTGAAGAAATTAATAATGTAACAATATAAGTGAGCAGAATAATCAATAAATCACTCGTTAGATTCTAACACATCGAATGACAGCATAACGCACCAGTCCAACACTATGCAAACTGGGCATTCCTGATTTCAGAACATTGTTTTCTCCTTTTCTAGATTACTAAACAATTGTAAAACAAGACTCAATTAGAGTTAGAATTTGAGGGCAAGAAGCTTGTGGAAAGTTCCTGAAACGATCAGTTATGTCAACGTTAGCTATTGAAATCAAGAGGAAGGCAGAGTCTTTGCGAGTATAATTCAACAATGACGACTGAAATTCAATTAATATGTATGACTATTTCTGGATTAAATTTTGTCAAACCTTTTCGCTAATTGACAATTCTTCGCTATCAATAAAGAAGAATCAGTAATATTGAACAACCTAGTGAATTTATTGATGGCCGCGCACTGAAAGAAAGCTGGAATATGAAAAAGCATCTTGAGGTTTTTTACGAAATACGGGAATATTGTCGTAGCCTGTGGTAAGTCGATTATGGGCATCGTCTTTGTGGGCTTTGAAATTTTACTCTAATGAGAATTGCTTTGACCATACTTATGCAGGTCTCCATCTGTAAAGGATTCGTTTTGTCGTCGTTTCTTGCATGGGTAACTCAGTCGAAGTGAACTGCACGAATTTTTGGTGTTCAGTTTTCATGGCGATATCACGCAAGTGCTCCCAAACCAAAGGCGTCCATATGGAGAACGAGAGTACAACTTCAATTTATCACTTCGATTTGGTAAGTAAGTATTGAATTTCTACTCGATACTGAGTGGCTGGCTTTGACTAGCTCTTAGGCATTGAAGTATTTTTTTGTTTGACGGATATACAAGTAAACGATGTCCACACCCCTCCCAAATTAAAATTCTAGCTATTCTGCTCCACTTAACCGATAAACCAACAAATGAAAGCGGTTTATAAAGCGAGATCGCATACCCGACCAAACCTGTTGAAGGCTGATGGCTAGCTAACATAGAGATGTTGAAGAATGAGTGATGGCGCAAATGTGCCTCAGTGGTGTAATGGTAGTAGCACGCGTCCCTAGTATGGATGAAATGCTGGTTCGATTCCTGCCTACGGCCGTGTCTTTGCTAACCACTCAGTTTTCTTAGGTGTATATGTAACATTGTAATACTGCGAAAAAGCATTAAAAATACTAGAATTTCAAGAAATAAAAACTCAGAGAGTCTGCAATGTTTTTCATTGAGGGTATGTCGCGATAGTCGTACCATTAAAAATATAACATTTTATAATTCTATTAATCTTTGCACCTCTACGTTGTTGTTTCTCTAACATATGGGGCCTTGCAATTTCTTCGGCTTTCACCCTCTCCATAGTCGTTGAAGTTCCTTACTCCGTCTTGTCAGCTCTCCTCGCAGTTTTCGATTGTTTTCAGCAACCTGTCTTGTCTCATGAAGAAGCTGTTCTTCTCGAAAACGTTTGGCCTGACATGAAAAAGTTATTTACAACACGAATTATTATATTCAACAATCACGTCAAGTATTCCTAGCAAATTCAGAGAAATTTAGACCGATGAGCAGCTTTTCGAACAGTTTAGTTACACCGTTGGATGTCATTTATCATGCGGTCTATTTTAGTGGACAAAGGTACAATGTACACACGGTCATTGAATTACGCGCTGCCGAGGAAACAAATAGTTTATCATTCCGGTGTGGACGTGTTTTCACAAATTTATGTTTAGGATGAATTCACTGACTGGATACAATGGTAGGATTTCCTAAAGTACTGTATAGGACAAATATGAATTGAGTCACTTTGCGATGTCCAAAATGCACGGAGAAGTTTTATGATTTGATTAACAGCCAACGCTTACTCCTTCTTATTCCATCTGTTCGAGTTACAAAGCTTGTGCTATGCCTTGTTGACATTTTTGTTATAACGTATAATAGTATTGTCTTTTTTTCATAAGATATAACGAGATTTGTGCTGCCATTTTTTCAATGATTTGTTATTCCTTTTTCCTTTCTCTTCCGCTTAGACACTGTAATTATTGTTGTGCCTCGCATTAATGCTTGAAGTCTATCACCTTCACATAGCTCTCCCAGATATAGGATAACGTTATCCACTTTACACAAGTAGTTTTTGTGATTCGTCATAGAGTTGGTGTTATCGAACTCTGCAAACCATTAGACGATAAACTCAATGCATGCGTAATATGAGATTGGTTCTTTATTTCCATTCCTTCGTAAAGTAGTTAAAGCTGTCCCTTAACTCTTTCCGCACTATTGTTTATTCAGTGTGTTTTCAATTCAAATCAAGTTACTGCTAAAAGTTGTGGTGTGTTGCAGAATTTTTTTTTTATAGCTCCAATCAGGCACGTGGAAACGGATGTAGCACCATCGTTATCCTATGAAATGGCTAGCGCAATACGTTTTCTCAATGGACACCTCATGCAGTAACCGACTACGACCGCGATGCACAAGTCAAGTCCTCGGCTCTGACTGCATAGGCAAAACTCGATCGCTACTGGAGTACAGTCCTAAGTCTAATACGAGCACAATAGGCTCCGCGCCCACTGGCTGCCTCACGGCGAAGACCTTCTACTTCAATCAAAGCCCAGGTTCCTTGCTCGAAAGATCCTGAGATTGGCAGAGCACGCTGTGTTGAAAATTGTACAATAAATGCAGACAGTCAGTGCCAAGTCTCATCACGGAGAATAACTCCGCAAGTTGTCGCAGCAGTGCAGGAGAATCGCTCTACACGACTAGGTGTCGTTTATTTCCAGAATAACAATCCACGACCTCACGTTGAGAATTCGACACTTCACATTATGGATAAACTAGGCTGAATTACACTACCACATCCACCGTGTAGCCCTGATACCTCTCCATTATATTACCATCTCTTTCGAGCTCGAAGACAGGCACGGAAGAGCAAAATCTAAGACTGCAACCAGCTTAAATGTAGCTTCACCAACTTCTTCGATGGCCAGCTTCATTCTTTCTAAGAGGGAAAACATCCAATCTTTGCTGAACATCTGTTGCGCACATCAGTGATTGTGATGGTAATTATGTTTTCAATTACTTCATTTTTCTAAATGGCAATCGATCCTTTAAAAGTACGAATGTGAAAAAATAATTAGGCAACTCAATATATACGAGAAATATCTCCGATGTGGGGCAGAGATTTCTCAAAAAGATCTTTTTTGCTGGACAGAGACCTTCCATTAAGCCATTAGTGATCATTCGCAGACTTGAATCTCGCAAAATTCGGAAAAAATTTTGAAAGAAAATTTCTTCTACAGCGCTGTAGCACTCAAGATAAATTGTGTTTCATACGCGCCGCGCGCTAGAGCGAGGATGCCTGTTAATTATTTGAAATTTTTTTCGTTTTGAAAAATTTTCAAGTTTTTTTTTTTGTAACAAAACTATAGAAAAAAACTTTGCTCTATCGTTCCAGCGCGTAAGCGTTTCATCTTCATCTTACATTTCCAAATAAACGCAATACTAACTAAGCACAAAAAACATGTGGACTTGAAGAGAAAATCTCCAAACATTATGACTATAAGTTTGATCAAGAGTTTCTCTCAAAGCGGAGCAAAACCCTAAATTCAGTAACAAAAATTGCATTACATACATGACTCGCGTTTGAAGGATCTGGCGTTCTCAGCTATCGATCCATAGCCACCATACACCTTAGCCGTCCTGTTTTCCTACTACGAAGCAGTAAAACAATCTTTTCAGGGAACATGCACTGTTTAGAATCTAAAAACTAACGCCGTTGAATAGTTATTGATACTCTAAGGGAAGAGCTTTGCCTTGCGAGATGAAATCGCGACAAGCGCAAAGGGTGTACAACTTAACTATATTCAAAATGCTACTGAGCTGTGAGAAGACTTTCTCAAAAACAGTAAATTTGGAATTCCCCGAGTTTCATGTTATCAATGATTTTTATTGGGCTAGTGGCAAGTCCTTTTTTAGCAATAAAGTTCTCGTTTTGAAAATTCCTGCCCAGCAGCGGAAATGATCCATGTTTACATACGTGTATAAATCTATACACATATATATGCGCAGATATATACGAAAAGATCAAGTGTACGCTGCATAATTATACTTTCTAGGCATGTTTAAAGAAAATATGTTCCTTTATTTGGAGAAGTGCGTCACCATTTATGGTCCTACTGAAGGTAAAAATAGCACCTACTTGTTTGCATCGTATTCGCTGTTCTCGTATTCTCTTTTCGAAATTGCTATTCTCAATTATCACATCTCTTTCGACTCTGTAAAATAATGAGAAATTGTTGAAAAGTGAAGGGCGGGTAGCAAAATTTTGTGTAATTGACAAATAAAGCGAGATAGAAACATTTACCTTGACTTTTCCATATGAACAGAAAAATTCAACGTTAACAAATAAGACTGATTAATATTTATTGAAGACATCCAGGAAGATCAAAGTTATTGAAATGAACGTGTGAGACCTTCCATAAGTTGGGGAATAAAAACTCCTTAGTTGCGATGCTAGTTGACATCGGATTGTGGGAATATTGTGAGCAATAGTCTCAATTAGCCGCATTTCTATTTGAAAAGCAGTTTCATTTGAAATATGAACTTCTTGCTTCCCGCTAATGCTTCCATTTAAACATCTCTTATAAACGTCAAAATATTCTTACGTAAGCTACCACGCCTATCATGAATATACATATTCCATCTCACACATAGACTGGAGCAAAAACTTGTAACGAAACGATTGAAAAGCACAATTGGGATGGTTTTGGGCTATGTCAGAACATTTACCCTCACCCTAGAAAAACTCATACTACCATCTAGTATGCCCTGCTTTAAAGGCCTGCCAAGAAATAAACCGAAAAACTATTCAAAAATATCACCTTTCCTGTAGAATATAAGATGAGAATAATCTTTTTGTTATCCTTGAACTAGCAAGGCTTCGTATAGAATTTATCCAATGAGCGTTTTGTTACCTTCGTCTTCCTGAGAGCATGACTGCTCCAAGTCAGCTGTATACAGTCGTTCGATAATGAGAGATATGGTCTGGAACAAGAAATAAAAGTTAGCGGACTATCCGAGTATAATAAAGACGATAGCATCTTGTTTTACTTAGTTGGCAATTATCAATTGCGCTAAAGTTATGGATTGTAAGAACGAATGCATCGTAGTAGCTGAGTTTCACAAGACGGGAATGAAGACAACCAACATTGTCAAAATTGGCTGGTTTAAAACCGTCAAGTGTCTACAGAGCCGTGAAACGTGTGACAAAGATACTGGAGGGATTGAGGACCGTCTTCGAAAAGATCCTCCAATCAACAAACCAAATCCAGCGAAAGATGCTTGAGAGTGGAAGAAAATTCCGTAACAATATGTTAGACGGCGACATATCTTTGAGTCAATCTCATTCGTTGGACAAGAACTTTTCATAAGAGCGTTTGTAATCGTTTGAAAACATAAATCTCGAGCTACAACTCTACATCACCGCTTTTCAAAACACTCTTTTATAATGCTGTAGCGTCAGGAATAACATTTTGTTTCTCATTCGCCATTCGTCTTCATTTTTACCACGAATAAAATTCGCTGGAAGCACGAAAGACATATCAGCGTGTAGGGAATTTCCCGTAGTATTAGAATTTACGTTTCTAACTAGGGATGCGGTCAATGCGGTAAATAAATCTCCAATAAAATAGCAATAGTTGTCGCCGTTTTAACGCATAATGCAGGAGATCATTATCGAGTTGGGCAGTGGATCAGACGATTATCCTTATTTCGAAATTCAACAATCAGTACATTATACTGCAACATTTATTTGAATGTACGTAAAATTATACGCACCTCATCACATATTGTGACTTATAAGACCGCTGAGACGAATAGACAAGATCACCCAGTTTGAAATGAAATATTTTCTCCATTCAATAATGTCACAGTCCAGCTACATAAATTGCTTTGAAAGACAACGTCCATCTGAATACTCTCATGTCCTATAAATCCGAATCGGTAGACCCTGAAAACAATGTCCGAGAGAAGTTTCGAATTACCGTAAAAGCAGCGATAGCACAATATAAATTGACGTTGTTCTATCACCACTTTTCAGTCGATGGATCATGGTTGGT